AACCAACCAACCAACCAACCAGCCAACCAACCACATAGAGGTTGATGGATGCTCGCCCCATCGCCCACCGTGGACTTACGCTGGCAGCCCAAGGGGTCAGTGGCGCTCAGTCCGTAGTGGTTGGGCTTGCACTGGTCGCATTTGGCTCCTTCCACGTTTTCTTTACAAAGGCACTGGCCAGCCACAGACCCTAAGGCAGGATCAGAGTGGCTCACACAAATACCACCAGATATGGTCCCATCAGGGTCACATTCACAAGCTGGGGACACAGACATTCATTATTTCAGTTAATTGCAAATTGTGGGAAGCCTGAAATATAAGCACAGCATTTTACTGATGCTATAACTATCTCGCTTTGTTTAAATAATTAAATGTTTAAATAATTAGACCACTTGGCAAGAGCTATCCAGAAATGTCTCCCAGATCTCTAGCCTTGGAAAACTTTGAATAAATCCACACATATATTTTTAAAAGACTTTTAAATGGTTCGAAAGTCAGAGGACCAGAGGAAGACTGTTGTTATGACAATTAAGACTAGATTATGTTAAGAATAGATTGATTCTTCTGGGGATGATGAGAACGTTTTGGAATTAGGTAGATGTGATGGCTGCACAACATTGTGCCGGTGAACTGCTGTTCATTTAAAAATGGTTAATATGTTATGTGAATTTCATCTAAAAATAGATTTTAAAAAAGACTCTAAAGGTGAAAATAAGGTCAAAATCTCTGAAACCTGGTTAAAAAGTAAGTCTCTCCTCTATCACAGAAAAATATGTCACAAGGAAAAGTGACATTCTATTTTATTTTCCTTGGAGGAAACACCTGTAAGAAGGAAAGGAAAGGAATAGCGAGAAGTATTCATATCCTTGGTTTTGTTGGGGGAAATCTGCTGACAGGTCAAGAGCTTGACGGAAGAGATTCTGGAAAATGGGATAAACAGTCACTTGTAGCAAAGGAGCCATAAAGGTAGCAACCTTTTTTCTGTTGTTGTTGCTGTAGACATTTGAACAACTCAAGGATGGGGTGTCATATGAAAAAGAATGTTGGCAGTTTGAATTAATTCTAGAGGGTAGAACCAGGAGAGAGTAGAAGTCACAAAAGGTAGCACTTGGTTGAGTTTAAGGAAGAACTCTCTAATAGTTAAGGCTGTCCAATACTGCAGTGAACCCCTCATCATCGGAGGTGTCCAGGTAGATGTTGAAACAGCACTTGTGGCTTTGGTATGGATGACGAATGTGTTGTTGGGCATTAGATGACCACCAAGGTCTCTTGTACCTTTGTGGTTCTGTGTTTCCATGGGCTTCCACTTTTAAGGAGGTCAATAAAAATTAAAAATACGAATATCCTGATTTTAAGGAACAGTCACATTCACATTTATACATGCTTCCTTTGGATTACTAAAAACAAAAAGGTCAAGTCTAAAACCATGTCTATATGACCACCATTTAGGTTAGTGAGTTTAATGGAAACAATTCAGTCCAACCAGTTGTTTCACATTATTGAAGCAACCCGTGTTTGCTCTCTGACGCAATCTTTCACATTTTAATCATTTGTTGTTTGTTATTGTTTTGTGACTGGTGACTTACTATGAAAAAATAGCATTGAGTTCTGTTTAGTTTGCAAAAACCACAATTTTCTTCTAATTAAAGCCAGTTGCTTCTAGAAAGAAGGGAACAAACTAGATTCATCTTAGAAGTGGCCAAAAGGAAAAAGCTAAAATTTCTTTGGGAGACACTCCAAAGAATCAGTATTGAGTTTCAGAGAATAATTTAATTATGCACAGAAGTATCCTTTGGGAAAGAGATGTGGGAGGGTAGATAGTAAACGTTCTTCGAAACAGCCTATGTCATGACCTTTAGAAGTCTAATTAAATGTCTTGGTGTCACACAATTCTAGCAAACTTTTATTATCAGCAGTTGAGTCTACCAAATCTTGCTTTTCTGTATCAAACTTAATGGCATCTTAATTGTAGAAAACTTAAAATTAGTCAACTCTTATGCCTGGAATCTGCTTATGTAAATATTTAGGTTCGAACGAGGACAACTTAGAGAAAATTTATATGAGAATGCTAATCAATCT